ATGTTCCCTTTACGCTCATTCTCGAGGCAGCGCAGTAGCAATTTCTTCCTTTGTAACAGACGTAAATGATTCAGTGTTAATAAGAAGTTCCAGGCATGGAGGTCTCCCAGCAAACAGCTGAGGAACAAACTGCCCACCGCGAAGCGTGGGGCTGAACAAGGCCTTCCAACCATCCCCCCTCCCTGCACCAAGGGCATTTTGAGCGAGGTCTGGGTTTTACCCTTGGACTTACAGTAGCGGATCTAAAGCACTAGTTCTGCTAGCTGCTATTCATTTTTTTTTTTCCTCAGGAAGAATTCAGTTGCTTTCTGAAAAGGCAGGGAATTGCAGGCCATGCGCCTGGAGATCTCTTGCCCAGCACATGCTCCAGCTTGGGGCAGGACCACGCCAGCAGCCACGTCCACCTTGGGGGGCATGGGGAGAGGGTCGGCAGGCTGCACGGGTGGCCAGGAGGAACAGGCCCAGCTATGACAGTGACCACATAGAATCACAGAGTGCTTTGGGTTGGAAGGGACCTTTAGAGGTCATCTAGTCCAACCCCAGCATCCAGCCCCCCAGGATGGGACGTTGCTGCGGGCAGGGCGCAGCAGACACGGCAGCATCCGGAGGGGAAGGTGACCACAGAAAACGTGCTCCCCCCCAGCACACCTTGAAAGTCACACAGGGAGCAAGGGGGGGAAGCCCCAGGCTGGCCCGTGTCACAGTCCTGGGGCACCCGCCCAGCCCTTCACACAAGCAGAGCCCAGAAAGGCTCCACCACAGAAAACCCAGGAAAAAGCACCCAGGGAGCAGCTGGGGGGAGAGATGGTGGCCCAGAGAGGCAGGGGTTGGGGACACACAGCCGTTTGTCCCCAAGAAGCTGGACAAACACAGCCTCTCAGTGCTCATGAGCCAAGAGCTTCCCACCACCATTTGCTCTCACTCCTGTCCCCCACCTGCAGCAGAGCTGATGTTTTTCCCAACATACTGCAGCATTATGCAGGAGGAGAAATGAGAAGGGCTTATTCCAGAAATATTTTGCCTCAGCTACTGCCCAGGGAGCAGCTCTGGGGTGAAAGAGATGCAAGTTCCCTAAAACTCACATTTTCCAAACCATAAACTGCGAGCAAAAAGCCTTTACCAGAACTGCTGGTCCCTCCTGCTCTCTTCTCATCAGCCGCCCCTCGACCCACCGCAGGGACCTGGGAGCAGCAGGAAGCGAGCGCACGCGAAAATGAAGTAATGGGACTAATGCAGGAGATGGAGGTGGCGAGACGCCGGGATATCATTCCCTGCTCCGAGGGCTGGGGTTAGGCGAGCTGAGCTGCTTCGCAGTAATTGCTGCTGAAGGGAGGGCTCAGGAACTGCACCCAGAAAACAGAAATCGCAATCTGAAGCGGAGCTGGATGGACCGCACGGTCCCAGCCAGGCCCCTCCCGAATACTCCAACAGCGTGCAACGCGAGGTAGCTGTTTTACGTCAGGCATTAATTTTGTCTGGCCCGCACCCCACGAGCCTCAGCCTCCAACACCGCTGTGCACATTGCGGGCAGGACGTGCCCACGGTGTGGAGACCTCCACGTGCTTCCCGACCCCCACTGCTCCGAACCAGCCCGCGCCGGTGCGGCCGGACGCGGGAGATGCAATGGCCCAGACCCCCCACGCCTGCTGCCAGCAGCCGGGCCACCCCTGCCCCACAGCCCACGCCTCAGGGGAGCCGGCAGCATCACAAAATGGCGGAGCTCCGGAGCCATGACACCCACGGCAGAGCTTCCTTACACAGCTTTGGGGAGGAATCATTAAAGAGATCTCATTTTGTTCCCATTTTGATGATTATACAAGTCAAAGGAGGCCACAAGTAGGTTTTCCTTTTTCTAGTGTTACCATATGCTTTCTATTCTTCAAGCTAAAGAGCCACCAGCCAAGCTACCCAACGTGTTTATCAGTGTAAACTGGAGACACCTCAAGCACCCAGCCCTGGAACACCAGCACCAACAGTTTATCTAACCATCCCCAGGGTCCTTCACAGATGCCACTTACCCAGAGAGCCAGAAAGCAGCAGCCGACCCCAGAGCAAGGCACAAAGCACACCAACACTGCAGAGCCAAGCTACCTTCAACTGGGCTATGCTTAATTTATAACCCTCAAAACACCTGGCCCAGAGTGCCTTTTAATTGATTGCAATTAGCAACTGTTGGTTGGCATGCCCCTAGTGTCAGTGACCACAGCTACATGACCTGGTGGGAAGAGAGGCAGTCACTATTTTTTCACCACAATTCCATTTTTTGAGCACAGCAGAATAGCTAAGCGGTGCACCGAGTGAGACAGTATTACTCATATGCTTAAGCACCTGGGTCCTTGATCTTGTGCTTTATAAAGTGCTCTGAGCTGTGCTGTAATTGCCTATAAATATGCTGCTGATCATGCTTAAAGGGACGCTGTCAAGGTTGGCAGGCCTACAGTCGGACTGAGTAAAATGACATCTTAAAACAGTTTTATTCTCAGTGTTCCTAAATTACCAACCTGTGGTTTTTATCATGTTTCTTGTTATCAGTCCAGCTCCTAGGATTAATGAGGTTATGGGAGAATGTTCACTTCTGAAGCAACAGCGCAGTCATAGAAATGGCAGGATAGAGGCTAATGTTCCCATCCTGAGCGGCAAGTGAAGGCACTTCGCTGTAACAGCTATTTTCCCTGCTGTGAATGGGCACGACCGCTACTGCCCTGGTGGTTTGCAGTAAGGTCACCCCTTGCTGAAGCAACGCCGTGTGAAAGGAATCTCCAGGAAAGAGCCCAGGGCTGAGGGGATCAGGTCTGGGCAAGCCTGTGGCTGCTCGAAGCACCCGTTTTCCATGGCGTCTCTTGGTCGGTTAGGAGTCTCGTCCTGGCTGCGCCGAAGGGAGGGGATGCACACAGAGTGGGCCAGGGAATAGAGTTACAAAGCTGGCGAGGAGCCTGCGGCTTCACCTCCTCCCCGGCAGCGCTGCCGGGACGCTGAGGGTGACGGGACGGGGAAATCCTGGGGACGAGAGCCCTTTCCCGCACTCTCCCTGCTGCGAGCAGCTCCGTGGCTGGAGCCCAGCGGCGGGGGAACCGACGCCAGCTATTGAGGGGCTGTTTGATCTCGGGCAAAGAGCGGTGCTGGGCTTCCTCTGAAGGACAGAATACAAATAGCTACGGAGTGAGAGGTGGCCTGGGATTATTCCTTTAGTGAAGGGCCTGGTTTGTTCCTGCGCTGAATAACCCGGTTCCTCTGAGCGGCAGTCCTCCAGCACACTTTGTACTCACGGGAAGCCCGCGGTGCCACAGCAACCGAACCGTGGGCGCCAGAAAAGGAGAAAGGACGGCTCGCTGGTGCCAGGGGCGGCTGTGCAGCAGGGCATTTCTGGAAGAGGAGACGTGGCCTTGGCCTCCCCTGCGGTGTCCTGCGAGACTCTGTGCTGCAGGGTTGGAAGACGAAGCCCTGAGCTTCCCCAGCGCGGGCCTACCGCCAGGCACCACCTTCCTGTCCGACCGGGAGCTGGAAGGCGTGCAGACACCCGAGGTGTGAGCAGCGCTTTGGATGTACTCATCCATCACCGCTGTGCGTCAGTCACAGGACAGACGCTGCCGAAACTCGAGGGACTGCAGGGAAGCCCTGGCAATGTGTAAAAAAAACCTCAGAAAGAACCAAAACCCAAATAGAAAAGAATGGTCTCCGGAGCCTGGGAAAAGGGCATGACTGCAGCAGCCGGGCCTAAGCCGGCTGGTGAGTGCCGTGGCCGGTGGCATCGCTTGATGCTGCAGTCCCTCACAGAGGCAAGAAGAGTACAAATCTTCCTCTTAGCTTTTTTTCCAATCACAGGAAAGAGAAGAAATCAAAAGAAAAAAAAATCCTCAGGCCGCCGATCCCACTGAACAGGAGAAGGGCAGACCCACGCGAGCCTGAGGCCAGCAACAGCTCAGCGTTTCAGCAGGCGGAAGGTGCTCCCCGTGCTCCCTGCATGCAGGGGGACCGTGGGGACCGGGCAGCGCAGGGGCCGTGTCCCTCACGCCAGCGAGCCTTGCAGGCTGTGGATACGGGCGTGGGTAGGCACCTGCAGAAAGGCTCATGCGTCTGGCACCAAGGAGTCCATTTCGAGCTCCAGCAGTCACGGAGAAACACTTGAAAGTGCAACTTGCGTATATTTTAAGGGCTTCCAGAAACCAGAATAAAAGCAAAATGAGCCCAAAGCCTGTACTTTTAAAAATCTTGTGCTTTTTAGACAAAGCTCGTATCTCCTGCAACCAATTTGTTTTGAGCTGGCTCTATATTTTTAAAAGGTTGTCCTTGAGAATCTTAAAACATGTTTTATTTTTTGTAGGTTAGAAATGCTTAGAAAGCAATAAAGTCAATCTCAATAGCATTGCTTAAATCCATGATTATATCAGTTCCATTTTGTGCGTATGCAGGGAGACACTGCGTAGGAAATTGTAAGGGATTCCTGTAACACCAGTTACACTGTGTGTACACATGCATACCATAATAACAGAAAAGCAAGAGCAGCCTGGCAGTTACAAAAAACTACCCACTGCCCTTTAAAAATAGACGTGTATGTTCTGTGTTTCCCCAGATTAACAGTGTCATTAGGGACTGACACACTAGGTACACTCCGTCTTCCGTCTGATTTATTGAAGTTCTGTCTGGGCTTTTTTTCTTCAGAACTGTGGTTGTGGCTGATGTTCGCCAAGAGGAACCCAAGTTCCATGAAAAGGTAAAGACCTGGAAGTCGAGATCAGGAGCGTGTGAGGAACGTGAATTAATTTTATGACAGTGCTTTATAATGGGCCACATAAATTTCCCCACTGTAGCTGGTGTGTGCATTCAGCAGTTGTATTGTCTGGCAGAGCGCGTCACTCGGCACAGCTGCCAGAGAGGCACTGCTGAACTGGTGTTTCTCTTCCATGACAAACACCTATTAAACAGTCAGCATAAACTCTTCTTGTTACAGCCTCTGACATCACCCTCAGGGCAAGCAGACACAGAACAGCAATTGCTGAATTGCGTATGAAAATTATAGTTTTATTGTCCATACAAGTGAAGGTTTAACTCCGATTCCTGCTCGAGTCAGCTCTGCCATAAAGCAGCGATTCTTTCAGGGAACAAACACGCACAGTACACCATTGTAATCCAAGGAACAGGCACTATTTATGTATTGGAAAGCCTGGTTCACAATAGTGCTAACGCTCCAGTGCCCCACAAGCCACTATTTTAGCAGCTGTAGAGAAAGAAAGCATGACTAACAAGATGCCACACAGAGTCAGAAACAGTTTTTTTAGAACAGAAATGGAATCATCCCACTTGATACAACTCAGTTTAATATGCACGACTGATAAGTAGGGATCATGTATTTAATGTTGATATACGCATTTTCTCCGCCGCAGCGTTCAAAGGCTTCCAGTGTCTCTTGAATCAGATCTCCAATATTTTCCCGCTTCTGCTGGCTGTAGTCTATCCCATCACCTGAATTAACTGGTTAATAAAACAAAAAAAACAAACCAAGAATTATATTAAATTTACTGTTATGCTTCCAAACAACGACATAGGAAATTGCAATTGCTGGTCAGTCACTGTGCCTCTATTAGAAACTTTGCTTTGCGACATGAAACAGCTGAATTTGAAAACAGGGTTATTTTGGTATCTCTTGAAGGCTCTGCTCAGGCTCTGACTTCATATGCCTTCAATATTTTTTTATGCATGCATTACTTCATTATCTAAGTGAAAATCCTAATAAAAATAACGAAAACACATTCTCTTCTAAGATAAAGGTGGACTCTCTCTTACACAACTAATCTCCTAAGACCATTACTTCTTTATTTCTAACATTGCTTATTTAGGACAAAATTCTACTGCCAGATACAGAAACGCTTGTCTATAAAATGTGACTTAAGCTAGACTTGTTATGGTTTGAAATCTTAAATAGGTATTGTTTGGGGATTGTTCCATGTTAGACGTCATATTCACAGGCTTATGTTGTTTCTCAGAGAGGAGATGTCCTGTGGCCTGAAAGAGATATTTGGAGTACAACACGGCACTCATTCAATTTCTGCTCCCTGAAAAATGTGTAAAATTAAGTCAATGTCAACAGGACAAATTATTGCAGCCCCAGATGCGGTAACGCTTACTGCTCCTTTCTCTAACGTGGAGCAGCAAGGGTGACACACATTCATGCACATACAGCATAGTTCTTCAAAAACAATCAGAATGAACAACTGTGACAACAAAAAATACAAGAGTAAGAAATAACTTCACCTGCAATGATGCTGAGAGAATTAAATGAGGAAAATATATTCTGTTTTCTTTTAAAGCAACATTCTGAAAACTGTCTTAATACGGGCATCTTCCAAGATCTGTACAAAGCCCAAGTTGGTGGGCGCCCAAAGGACACGTCTGTGAAGAGCGCGCACCCAGCTCCTCGGGCAGCGCCTGCCCTTCACGTGAGAAGCGTGGCGCACGGCAGATGTTGCTCCCACTGCTGCGTCCCCAGGCCGGTGGGGCGTGGATGTGCAGCTGCTCCCATCCTCGCGTTCTCTCCTGGACCCGGCCCAAGGATCTGGGTTTCAGGTATGTGACTTTGCTACCAGTAAAAACCAAAGAACCATGCTCGTGAAGGAAGAGCTGATGAACACGCGTAAAAAGCACCCTTTTGCTGAGTTTTCCTGTAAAATACCTGATTGTGCTCCAAGTTAATTATGCGTATATCAGTTTTTCAAACACCTTACATTTGTGTCGCTTTTTGCTTTTTGTAAAATGTTTGCAGAAATACAGAGGTGACATAAAGGTACTGGGCTTCTGAGAGGAAAGGCAGTAATTTTTTTGTGATGGTTACCCTTAAGCACACAAATACTTCCCTATATATTAACTATTTATTTCACTAACATCAGAAGCCAGAGTTGTGATATGAAAATTTACTACGATGAATTTACTGTAATGTTAGAAATGATAGATTATGAGAGTGCATAGAAAACACCAAGAGCTATTAAATAAAAGAATTAGTTTATGCAAAATACTAATGCAAGAAGCACAGCGCAGCTGAGTGCAGTTTAGACTAAACATGGTTTCCTCTTGCAGAAAACAACTGAGATCACCTGTGCTGCCTCACCTGTGTTGCATGTGCACTGCCAGCACTCCCCAGAACACCTGGAGGTATTTCTGATTTCACCAGTTTGAGCAAAGGAAACCCTGAACCTTGACCTAAGTCTTGGCAAATATGTGGAGGAATTACTGACTTTCCAACCATTTGTCTATTATCTGTAATTTTAAGCCTACACACATGCTCTGCTAATGAGCTTACACAGCTTTCATCGTTCTTTCAACGAAGCAGTGAAAAAATCAGCTCCCTGGAAGTCATGGCAATACATTGCTAGGCAAGTTTGGAGGAGGCCGACAAAATGCCGTGCTAATGCTGGTAGCAGAGGTATTTTCCAGAATCCCATGTTACAGTCTTTATTATAGAGCGCAGTCTGGGTGATAACTGATGCCTTCGATGCTTGATTAAAAGGTATCTAAGAGAATGAGGCAATGATAAAGGAAATAAGTCTGTGAGGGAGGACTGAATGTGTGATGTGCAGACCATCATTACAATTTTCTTTTCCTACAGACCATCTGTGCTATATGAATGTTTGTATCCTCAAGACAGCCATAATTCACATTAATGTCATGACACAAGCTACAACCAATACCAGAAAGGTTATGTCAGCATTGAGGTCACCCGGTAAGTACCAGAATAGCTATCCAATGCAGTTATAGGAATTAACAAATCTTTCAGACCAAAAAGATAATCATTAACCCAACAGGACAACATCCACTGAACGGATGAGTCAGAATGATCTGCCCAAAGCACCTAAGGGTAAATATCTAGTCATGATAATAATGATGATTAGCTGGAAAAAAATTTGTACTGAAGTACAGCGGTCTCGGCGTGCCCTTCTCTGGTTTGACTCTATTTCCAAGTTGGTTTGCGTGAGAAGCCAACTTTGTCAGCCACAAAAATGTTGCGTATGTAAAGTGTGAACGTGGATCCGATTCAAGCTCTTTACGCAGTTGTCCTTTGTGAGGGAGAATAAATCAACATGAAAATGCTAGGAAGCACATTTGTCATATCTTTGTCTCAAAGTGAAATGTTTGGCAAATTCAGCATGCATCAAGAGCTCTTTTCAGAGCAAATGTTATTTCTGCCTTTAGAAGAAACACATTGAAGCAATAGTAACAGATCTGGAGGATTACAATCAGGAAAAGATCTCATTTACCTTTCTGGATCAAAAAGCTAGCTCCCATTCTCCTGAATGATGCACCAAGGGTTTGATGGTCCTTGACAGTGAACT